GCTCCCGCTCCGGCTGCCGTTCAGGAACGTGGTGGCATCGCTCCTTTTCAGGAACGGTGCCGGGGCCTGGCAGGACACCCCTGCCCGTGCCATGCCTGGGGGGGTGGGCATCCTTCTCCCCCATCCCTCCCTCCCTGTCCATCCCGGCTGGAGAGGTGGGAAGGGGCAGAGGCAGGAGGAGCGGGCGGTGGAGGATGCTGTGCCAGCGATACGGCGGTGGGTTTTATAACGAGCCGTGGATTGTTAGAGTGACCACCTGCAGTGTGGGCATGGCCACCAGCTTGTGGGCCAGGATGGGGCCGGGGGGGGTCTGCTGTACGTGGGAAGAGGGGTGCCCCCTCCCTTCTGGCTTCCCAGTGCCAGGACGGGCAGTGCCAGGAGAGCACCGGCAGAGCTGTGAGCCCTGGTGCTGTGGGGTGGTGGCAGTGGCAGAGGCTGGGGAAGAGCTCCCTCCCACACCCAGGTCTCCAAGTGTGGCTTCTGTCTGTGCCTGGTGGCCCATCAACTTGGCTAATGACACCTGGGCTAATCACAGCCCCGCGCAGAGCAGCCCCCAGCCCCGGTGGAGCTCAGCACCTCCCACGTGCCATTTTCTACCCCTCCATCATCTCCCCGGTGCTGGTGATGGTCCTTTGGGGTGGTTTCTTGGTGGACCCTGCCATGGTGGCATCATGTGCAGGGGGCCAGTGGTGGCCAGTGGTGGCCAGCAGGCTGGGTGCTCCCCGTGCTCCACTGTCGGCGCTTCCACACGGTGATTCTGCCAGTTGCTTGGGTTTCCAGCGTTCCTGCTTATGGCTGGTATTTCTCTTTCTTAGAAGAAGGGGGAAGGACGACATGCCATCTCCCACCAAAAGCCCTTCCCCTTCCTCCAGCAGCGTTTCTGCCATTTACATTAAAGGCTATAACGGGTTGGAGTAAATGGAGCAGGTTTGCAATTAGTTTTCAAAGTACTTATCTCATTAAAGTAAATGAATTATTGATTTAGTGACACTCATGCTTTTAGTGAGCGGCACGGTGCCATCACCACTCTGTTCCCTGGCTCACGAGGGTGGTGGCCGGCCCTCGCACGCCTGCTCCTCGTGTGCACGCGTGGGTGTGTGAGCAACGAGTGGCCTCTCTGCCTCCCGCTTGGTGCCAACGTGGACCCAAGCTGGGCACGGGAGTTGTGTCTGTGGGAGCAGTGGCACAGCTTTGCCATGGACAACGGTCACGGAGCTGCCAGGGAGGGATGTGCTGGTGACCCTGGTGCTCCTGTGGGCACAGTGGCCACGCTGGACCACCTCCTGCCAACCCCTCCTTGCGGTGCCAGGATGGGAGGGATGGAGGAGGGCAGCCCACCGGTGGCACGGGGCGCTTGGCTGTGGAGCAGGTTTGCAATTAGTTTTCAAAGTACTTATCTCATTAAAGTAAATGAATTATTGATTTAGTGACACTCATGCTTTTAGTGAGCGGCACGGTGCCATCACCACTCTGTTCCCTGGCTCACGAGGGTGGTGGCCGGCCCTCGCACGCCTGCTCCTCGTGTGCACGCGTGGGTGTGTGAGCAACGAGTGGCCTCTCTGCCTCCCGCTTGGTGCCAACGCGGACCCGAGCTGGGCACGGGAGTTGTGTCTGTGGGAGCAGTGGCACAGCTTTGCCATGGACAACGGTCACGGAGCTGCCAGGGAGGGATGTGCTGGTGACCCTGGTGCTCCTGTGGGCACAGTGGCCACGCTGGACCACCTCCTGCCAACCCCTCCTTGCGGTGCCAGGATGGGAGGGATGGAGGAGGGCAGCCCACCGGTGGCACGGGGCGCTTGGCTGGTGGAGTGGGCTCAGAGTGGGGCTGCCCAGGGGCACAAAGGGGCTGGGGCTGGTGTTGTGGGCTACTCGTGCTGCCTGCGGCTCCTCCGGCCGGCCCCGGGGCAAGGAGAGTGGTACGCAGGGCACGCAGGGCACACAGGGCGCTCGGGCTGGACGCTGCCCGTCGGAGCGCGGCCGCAGGAGGGTGATGCACTGGAATTGCTGCACTGGAGCCAAATGCTTATGGCTGAACCTGCCACCCCCCCCCCCCACCAGCCAGCTGCTGACTCAGCTCTTCTGCGCTTCCCTCTACAAGAGATCTAATCTCTCCCGTAAGATAAAATACTCCCTTAATGGGAACCTGCCCACTCCCAGCCGCCCCTCGCTGCCTTCCAGGCTGTGCTCTCCTGCAGCCAAGAGCTGAGGCTGCTGCTGCTGGGAGAGCACCAAGAACAGACCCGGACACACTCCCTCTTCGCTCCTGTGCCCAATGTGGGATGTAGGACAGGACAAGGGGCCGTGGGAGGGATGCCAACGGGATGAGCCGGGAATGCCAGCTCCTCTGTCGGCGCCTGGCATGCAAGGGGGTGTTATGGGCAATGCCTGAGTTGGAAGGACTTTGTCCTCCTTGGGAGGGAGGAGGTGGAGATGCTACAGGAGCCACGGTCACCGGGTGGGAGGAAGTGCCAGGGGACGGGCAGAAGTTGGAGAAAGAATTTCAGTTGAAAGAAGAGTCACAGCAATGGCTCAGGCTGGTGTTCGGGTGAGCAGAGTCAGGACTGGTGATGCTGTGCCAAGCAGACACACTCCCTGGGTGCCACCATCCCCTGCCGGAGAGTGACGAGCTCTGGGCAGCCCTTTGCCAGTGGGGATGGTTCTCCTGGGGCTGGGGAAGCTGCTGTGGTGAGAGACCTGCCCCTGCCCGCTCCTGCCCCTGCCCCTGCCCGCTCCTGCCACACACCTCCAGGAGCTGCTGGGAACGGGGTGTTTTATCTTAGTTTAAAAAAAAAATTAAAAAAAAAATCCTTCTCATTTAATTAAAAGTGTTGACATTGTGCCTGGCCATCCCGCCCGCCAGAGAACGTGGTTATAAATTAAACATTAAACCTTTAATGGCCCATAAAGAAATATTCGCTGCTGCTTATGTATATAGGGGATATAAATAGAGAGGGCTGCTGGGGGAGGGGCGGGATATTATTTTTCCTCAGCCAGATAATCTTTGCTAATGAATTTAATTAAAAGCAAAATTAATTTAGGATTTTTGGTGGAGGGAAGGGGGGGTCAAAACGTACTTTGAAAAACTACAGAGAAGTTTCCCAGCAAGCTGGAGCAGGGTGGCCGGCCCAGGCCCCCCGCAAAGTGGGGCCGGGGGTTGCTGGGGGGGGGCTTTTCCTCTCCTGCTTTGGCAGATGTGACAGGACAGAGGTTTTCACTGGGCATCCTGGTGCCTGCGGTGCCAGGGCTGAGATCTCTGCCTGGGCTGGGCGAGCTCCCGGTGGCGCATCCCGACTGCCAGGGCCTCGAGCTGCCGCCGGGAGTTTCTCAGAAGGCGCCTTCCTCGGGAAATGTGTTTGGGAAATGAGATTTATTTTTTTACCCATCGCTGTCCCTCCCCGAGGAGAGTGAGCCTCCTTCAATTATTCATCGCCCAACAGGCTGTCTGGGCTCCCAGAACCTGCTGGAGCACACGCTGGAGTTTCCTCCCCCCCTTTTTCCACCGTCTCCTGCCTCCCCCGGCCAGGGATCCCGGCGAGCGATGTCGTGGTGGCGCCGAGGAAGACCTCGGGAAGGCAGAAGGCTCTACCAGCCCCCCCGGCCCTGCAGGGATGTCCCCTCGCCGCTGGGGACCGGGGAGTTTCCAACCAACTTTTTTAGGGCACCCACGTCCCACAGCTGAGTCTGGGGGGAGGGATGGGAGGGGAGACCCCCCGAGCTTGGGAAACGCGTCTGGCTGGGCGAGAGCTTTCTGGAGGGTTTTTATCATAAGAGCACTAATGGAAGTCAGCACCAGCCTAATGAGCTGTGCTCCTCCATGAATCTGATTCATTGAGGCAGGAATTACCATAATTGATTATCCTGCTGCGCGGCTCAGAGCGGTGTTTGCTAACACAAGTGCCTGGGAACCGGCTCCGCTCTTCCCGAGCCCCTGGACCCGTGGTGGCCACGCTGCCAGGGACGTGGCCATGGGTTTGGAGCAGCGGCTGCTCTCCCAGCCCCGGGCACAACCTCCCTTTCCTCTGCTCCTGCACCCCATGTCTTGGAGTGCTACCATTTCTTGGGGTGCTACTGTGTCTTGGGGTGCTACCGTGTCTCGGGGTGCTGCCTCTGCGGCGGGGGGTCGGTGGAGCATCGCGGCTCCCCCCGTTCCACACCAAGCTGTTGGTGCCCAGCTGGACTGGTGGGGGGAGGCGGCAGGAACTGGGCACCTCCAGGTCCCCAAAGCAGCAGTTTGCAGACAGAAACAGCCCTCGCTTCCTCTTTTTTTTTCTTAAAAAAAAAAACAAAACCAAACCCCAACTCTTGGTGATGTATAAGCTGTTCTCATTATATTTGAGGGTCTGACATGATTTATGAACATTTGGGTTGGCAGTGTTGCAAAAGCCAATTAGTTGAAGTGCAGCTTTCAGGAAGTTTTCTTTGAAATTTGGCGATATTCTCCAAGAAGTGCCCGGGGCCGGGACGGCAGCAGCGGAGCCCAGTGCTGGAGGGGGGGGGAACTCCCACCTCCTGGGAGGGTGACACCGTGTGGGGCAGGGACTGGGGGGGACAGAGATGCAGGAGCATCCTTGGGAGCGTGGGGCGAGGTGGGGAGGGCAGGGGGCTCAGGGCACGGCAAACTGGCTGCACGTCCAGTGCTTTGGCTGTGTCCTTTCCAGCCCCACTGATCCATGGGGCTAGGGCTGCACTTGTAGGGTCCTGGGAAAGCTGAGGAAGGGTCCCATGGTCTGCAGGAGCTGGGGCAGGTTGGAGAGGCACTGGCAGAGCTGGAAGCACCTCTGCAGCTCCTGTGGCTCCTGCAAAGCACAGGCAGGGGCTGCTGTGTCTGGACTCCCCCCCCCGGGGCAGGGTTCCCGGTGCCCCCCAGGGAGGTACCGCTCACGTTTGTACTCGTATTCGAGCGTTTTGCCAGTCAATGAGCAAATAGCATCGACTGTGAGCAGGTTAGCGATGATGAGCATCGATTTTAAACCTTCCTCCTCTTTCTTGTCTTTTCTTAGAGAGCCCAGCGCGAGCGCCGCGGGAGGAGCTGGGCTCAATAAAAGGTACGGAGGCGTTTGTGCCTGAAGGGGCTCTCGGGGGGGAGCTTGGGCAGCGGCTGCCCCACTGCTCAGGGTCCCTCTGAGCATGGCAAAGCTGCATGGTAAAACCTGCATGTTTAGGGGCAGGAGATGGGCGCTACTGCCTGAGCTGTGTGGGGCCAGGGGGGGGCACGGGGCAGCACCTTCTGCCCACGGCTTGGGGGTCCGGGTGGGCACAGAGCCATGCCCTGGGGAGGGCTGGGGATGAAGGCTGCCCGCTCCTCTCCACCAGCAGCCCCTGAGACCCTGCGCAGGCGTGACGTGAGTGGGGTGAGTCTGGGTGAGGAGGGCCGAGGGCTGCAGTGTCTGCGAGGTGTCCATATGTGCTGACTCTGCTGTATTTCTGTCTGTCCATGCTCTGGGTGGCTCCTGTCCTTACCAGGGTGGCACCAGCCCTGGTTCTGGCCCTGGAATTGACCTGGCAGTTGCCCACCACGGGGGAGGCAGTTGCCCATCGTGGGGGGATGTTTGCCCCCAGGGTCCTGCTGCCCATTCCATGAGGTGTCACCAGCTCCCCTAGACCAAGACCTAACTTGGGCAGGTGGTGACTCATGGACATGAAAGGGGGCACCAGGCCAGGTGTCCCCTGCCAGTCTGGTGCCCGCTGGGCAGACAGGAATGGCTCCTTTCCATCATCACCTTGAATTGCTGGAGGGTCCCATTGCAGGGTGAGGCGTCTGGGTCCCCTAGAAGGTCCATCCTGCTGAGTACAGCCCAGACCCCACTGCCCCCAGTCTACGCTGGTGAAGCAGAGCAGCAAAGATAAAACAAGGGACTGGGGATGAGGATGTTGATGTGTCCATCCCTCTGTGCTCCAGTACTGGTCCAAAGGTGCCTGTGCAGTGGTGGGACCAGGGGGTGGCTGTGGCCGAGGCGGTGATGCTGGGCACCGGGGAGCTGTCACCAGGCAAAAGTGATGGAGGAAATAGGCGTTTCGGAGAGGAGTGCTCTAATCTCTGTTGTCAACAGGACAAAGGTGACCCACTGGGAGGGGGTCATGGTCCAGAAGGGTAGAAGGGTCATGAGATGCCGTGAGGAATGTGGAAAAGGAGCCACCAGAAGGAGTTGGAAGGCTGTGGGGGGAGCTGGGCTCGCCCACCTCTGCCATTCGTGTCTGTCCTGAGCTCTTTGCGACTTGCTCCCTGTGCTGAAGAGAGGGCTCCGCTCCCTCCCGGTGTCCAGCTGTGTGTGGGGCATGGGTGGCACTGGGGTCAGTCCCTGGGGCTGCGGGTGGCCGGAGCGCATCAGGCTGTGGCTAGGTGGCTGTGTCTGGAGAGATGTGCCCTGGCAGTGGGGAGGAGACAGACCAGTGTCCTGCGGCCAAGCGGTCCCGATGCCTGGTTTGGATGGGAGAGGTGGGATGTGGCTGCGGGGTGACAAGGGTCATATATGGACATAGGACTGGGGATGCTGAAGGTGAAACAGTGCTGGGAAGAGTGTTGGGACATGCTCCTACTGCCCACCTTGTCCTGACCCCAGGATGGTGCTCCCCCCTGCCCAGGGACCCCCCAGGTTTGGGTTTGCACAGTGATGGAGTGCTTTTATTCTTCTGCCCTGGGTCTCCCTGCAGCCGGTTCACGCCAAGACCATGTCCATGCAGCAGCGTGGGGGTCTGTCCTGCTTTGGGGGTCCAGCGGGCTGTGGTCCAACAGCTTGGGTTGTGTTTGTAGGGCACAGAGAAAGAGGAGAGGGTTTTGATCACCAAGACATAAGAGGGAGTGGGAAGCCTCCCGCCCCAGCTGCCTGCAGTGGTGGCTTCCCTGCGTTATCACCCTCTCCTGGTGCTGAATTATTGAGAGTGTTGCTTTCTTTTATTGCTGTGCTGGAGGAGAAATGCCTCAGCCCGGCTCTGCTTTGAATATGATTATGGGGCTGGAGATGTCAGAGCCAGCTGGGCCCCAGAGACCGATCTGCCACCCCTCTCGCTCCTGTGCCTTCCCTTATTCTTATTTATTCCCTTGCTCCCACATCTGGTTCAGCGCACACGGTCCCCTCGCTCCCCTCCGCTGAGCGGTGCCCCAGGAGGATGGAGATTTAGTGCCTGATGAGCAGCGCTGCCCGCGGTGTGTGCCAGAGGCAGCCAGGAGCCCCCTGCCCCACAGAGAAGGTCCATATTGCCCTGGAGCCCCCCTGCCCCAGGGGGAAGGTCCATCTTGTCCTGGAGCCCCCTGCCCCACGGGGAAGGTCCATCTTGCCCTGGAGCCCCCTTGCACCGTGGGGAGGGTTCATCTTGTCCTGGAGCCCCCCTGTCCTGAAGGAAAGGTCCATCTTGCCCTGGAGCCCCCCTGCCCTGCAGGAAAGGTCCATCTTGCCCCAGAGCCTCCTGCCCAAGCAGGGCTTATCCCCATCACCCACCCTGTGCCAGCTCTGTCCCTGCCTCCCGTACGGGATCTCAGCCAGTCCCATCCCTGTGGGATGGGGTCTCCTTCCAGCCTCCGTCCCCAGGGGTCTAGGGGCTGCAAACCATCCCTGGTTGGAGGGATGGCCACTGCCTCAATGGGGCACTTCTGGGTGCCCTTCTCGGTGGCCACATCCCGTGCTGCAGGGCTTGTGAGGGGCTGTCCCCATCGCTCCCGCACCCAGGGACTGGGGGCTGCTGGCATACTGCAAAGTGGGTGATGCTGGACCCCCCCGAAACAGCCCGTCCTGGCAGACCCCCACCGAGCATCCCTGCCCCCTTGGGAGCAGCAGTGGGGAGCGGGCGGCCCCACAAAAGGCTGCCTGCCGGGGGGGTGCCGGGGGGTGCTGGGAGCCGGCTGGCACCTCGCAGGTTAACGGCGAGCGCGGCCGATTCCCTTATTGACAGGGCAGCTTGGAAAACGCTGAGGCAGAACATCGGCTGCTCCGGGTGTCAGCACCGGAGCCCGAGCTGCGCTGGGAGGGAGCTCACACCCCGCAGGGAGCCCACCAGCCCCCCAACAACCCCTCCTGCCCTCCGGGGGTCCTGGACCCCCACCCAGCTGGGGAGCGGGTTCCTCCTCGCACGCTCTCCCTTCCCTTGGATCTTAAAGACTCCAGAGAGGATTTCATTTTTATCCCTCCATCTCTCTCTCATTTTTTTTTCCCCCTGGGGTGAATAAGCCCCTGCTCTGCTGCGCTCCCGGGGCTGCCCCCCATCTACCCCCCCATCCCGGCTCTCCAGCACCATGTTGGATGCCAGCAGCCGGCTCTGGTAGCCCACGGCAAGTGCCCACGCCGTGCCGGGGAGGGAGGCGACTGGCAGGGCTCCCGGCCACCCCAGCCCTCGGCGCTGGAGCCGGACAGTGAGCGCCCCAGGGGGAGAGCCCCCCGAGGAGGAGGAGCAGCCCACTGCCTTCCCACCGACCCCGCAGAGCTCCTCAGCACCCCGCGGCCGACATGATGATGTATTTTTGGGTAGGTACCACCTCCAAGGGTGGGCATTCCCCCTCTCTCTCTGCCGGGGTTTTGCTCGGGGTTGGGGGTGTTTCTTGCCGTTGTTGCTTCCCGCTGCCCCACGGCTGGCGGGGGACGGGCTGTGGGGTGGGGGGCAGGCCTGGCAGTGGGGAGGAAGGCAGGGGTCCCTGCCTGGGCAACCCCTTCCCTGACTCTCCTCCGCTCCCTCTGAGCCCCACGCCGTGCTGGCCACAGGCAGCAGCCCC